ATATTAAACTCGGTCCTCCGCTTCAGGGACTTGTACGTAGGTGTTGAATCCGGTAACAACATATACAGAGATCTCACCATCGGACCCGGGTGTCTGATGCGTTTCTTGTGCAAAGGTGGGGTCTACTCCGATATCATAGACGATGAAGTGTTATCAACAAAATTTGGATCGAAATTAAAATTTGGTTGATAGCAATCGTCAAAATTTTGGGAGTCTAAATTTACACCAAAGGCATCATCTCTGGGGTTGTAACTACGTGGACAAGATTATTTTCATATTGAAACCCATGATTGTTTTCAGGCTGCTGAAATTGATGAGAGTGTCCAGACTGGTAAAGGTGTTGATTATTTTCAGGCTGTTGAAACTGTCGAGAGTGTTCAGGCTGTTGAAACTCTTGACTATTTTAATCATGTTGAATAATATATAATTAAAATATGTATATATATATACACACACACAGAGATTCATAGCATCATTTGAGCGCTAAATCTACTATAGTAGGTTTTTAATGTGTATGTAAGCAACCATTGGATCGACGGTGCTGTTGTGAACAAGTTCAATAGTTTCTTGAATATTACGATTTAGTTGTTCAATATAATTTTTGAAATCATTAGATAATTGTGGCGCTGGCGAACTCGATGCACCGACCTGTTTTTGTGCAACCTTCTGAAAATAATGACATATACGGAGATCTCACCATCGGACCCGAGTGTCTGATGTGTTTCTCATGCAAAGGTGGGGTCTACTCCGATATCATAGACGATGTAGTGTTATCAACAAAATTTGGATCGAAAATAGAATTTGGTTGATAGCAATCGTCAAAATTTTGGGAGTCTAAATTTACACCAAAGCCATCATCTCTGGGGGTTGTAACTACGTGGACAAGATTATTTCCATATTGAAACCCATGATTGTTTTCAGGCTGCTGAAATTGATGAGAGTGTTCAGGCTGCTAAAGGTGTTGATTATTTTCAGGCTGTTGAAACTGTTGAGAGTGTCTAGGCTGTTGAAACTCTTGATTATTTAAATCATGTTGAATAAATATATAATTAAAATACACATACACACACATTCATAGCATCATTTGAGCACTGAATCTGCTTTAGTAGGTTTTTAATGTGTATTTGAGCAACCATTGGATCGACGGCGCCGTTGTGATCAAGTTCAATAGTTTTCTGAATATTATGATGCAGTTGTTCAATATAATTTGTCAAATCATCAGATGTTTGTGGAGCTGACGAACTCGATGCACCGGCATGTTTCTGTATAACTTTTTGAAAATAACGATTACTTGACCTCCACTACGGACATCGTAGCTCCATGTTAGTAGGTGTTAACATAGTACGTGGGATCAAGCCTTCCTAAATAAAATATTAGTATAAGTATTTAATTACCGTTAATAAAGTAAATTTTTCGAGATAAGTTGGTCAAACTCACATCGACATGTAAATATCTAAGACAATCATTTCACAATAATTGTTTCGTTCGTTGCCAGGCACATGCCGTGGGATGACTCCATCAGTCCGTAAATCATAAGAAAATGAAGCATGTGAAAATGCTTCCAATATCTATGTCTATATTTTTGTTATTTTACAGTTAGTAAACAATTTAATTCAAATATAATTTTGTTATTTTACAGTTAGTAAATAATTAATTACAAGTCACCTTGAATGCAAACACAAATTCATTTAATGTGTATCTGCATTTGCGTTTAGAGACTCACGTTTTTGAACGAGAGTTCTTTTTCCCGTTTTAGTAACGCATAATTAAGTTGAGGGTATAGGGACTCCCACAAATTATTACCATATGGATAACTGTGTCATAAAAATATTTTAGATCAGTACTAAAATTTATGTAATAAAACTATATGGTTACAATGAAAAAATACCATATTTAAAAAAATATATGTTCCATGCATCCAAATTTTCGACTAACCGTAAATAGTCATCATAAACTATATGGTTTGTTTGCCGAATGATAAATCCAACGGACAATAGAAAGACATAGACGTACTACATCAATGTATGTTATTGTTCCGAATTTTTGTTGTTCAAAAATTCGGGTAAGATCGCTCATGCGTACCGATCGATTTTCATCAAGGTCTAAAACCCGAGTTCTAAAGGACAAGTCTATCATATCTGGTAATGACGACTTGTTTGGGCCAAATTTCATACCGTTAATGAGACAAAATTCTTCTTGTCCAAAACGTAAAAGACATCCTCCGACATTAAAATACAATGCTTCTTTATGGTCTTGCTCTAGTGGCAGCACTTGCATTTTTAACATCAAATGCACGAGCATTGGATCTTGATGTGTTGACCGAGTATCGATCCAATGACCGAAACAAGTATTTCTAAACATTTGTAGTCTGCTTCCTGACCTCCTCAATCCCCTCCAAAATGTATTCAAAATTTCGATACTTAATTTTATATTAGCAAATGATTCATAATAATCCTCTTGATAGATATAATATAAATATGTTACAAAAATAACATATAAAAATTTGATGTTGTAAAATTGAGATTATATTAAAATTTATATAAGAAGACTAACCATGATGTAGAAGATCAAATTTTGTCTAACGAGGGTGAAAGAAGTAGTTGAATATTTAAAATTGGTGTTGTAAAAATGAGAATATATGGGTTCTTAATAAAAAAAATTAGAAAATTGATAATGAAGATGATATTAAGGCAGTGAAGATGAAAGTATGATTTTGTGTTGGTTGTAAAAATTTGAATTGTTTATATAGTGGAGTTGAGGAGAAAAAAAGACAAAATAAGATAAATGTTGTATTGGGAATGAACGAATATATATATATATATATATATATATATATATATATGGTGGGACCCACCCTTAGGCACTGTGCACGGTAAGTATCATGCATTTGACTAAGACCACTCACATCACTCTTGCTAATGGAATTGCAAATAAACTTTTGTCAGACAATCCACATCCCTCTTGCTGCCATGTAGATTTTTAATTGCAAAATTTGCAAGTCACTTTAAAAGCCACGTGGGCCACCCACTTGCCTCCAATTTTGTTTTTCTTCTTTTAATTATTTAAATAAACTATTTTTATACAAAACAATTAATTTTATAAATTAATAATGTTAATATATTTTTAATTACATTAATTATATAATAAATTAAATTATTTTAAACATTAAAATTTATAATTACATAAAATTATAATCTAATATATAAAATTACATATAACTAACATAAAACACGCACGACTAACAAAACAACACAAATAAAATTACATGTTTATTCATCTAAAAGTTGACGGATTTTTTTATCGTACAATTTTCGTTGTTGGT